GCGTGCGTGCGTGCGTGCGTGCGTGCGTGCGTGCGCGTGCGCGTGCGTGTGAGTGCGTGTGCGTGCGTGCATCCGGCGCTGCAACGTTCACTAGCCCCAACACCGTCAGAGGCGGTCACGCCGCCCCCGATTAAACGCCCCCGTCTAAAAATACATCGCTTAAAAATTCTTTCTCGCTACAAGATCGCTACATCTGCTACGAGATCGATAATGGGAACGGATTAGCGCGCTCGCAATTCCGGACTTCTGACGATAACGCAACATAGCTGGCAACATAGTAGGCAACATAGCTGGCAACATAGTTGGCAACATAGCTGGCAACACCGCTGGCAACATAGCTGGCAACATAGTTGGCAACATCGCTGGCAACATAGCTGGCAACAACATCGTTGCGACCAATTTCATTTCGAGACGCGGTGTTATTGTTATTATTTCGATGCCCGCGCGGATCCCCTACCTGCGCCACGAATAGCGAGCGAGCGGAGAGAAGGCGTGCTCTCCGGAGGCGGGGGAGGAGGTGAGAGAGGAAGAGGAGCGGAGAGAGAGAGAGAGAGAGAGAGAGAGAGAGAGAGAGAGAGAGAGAGAGAGAGAGACCGCACACGCACGCAGAGTCGCATTAGCTAATTACATACCAAGCATCTCGACTCGGATAAACGACACCACCCGTACACAGATACAGATACATCAGAAGTAGATAATAAGGGAATTATAGGGAAATAGGAAAATAGTAGAAATAGAGGGGTTCCCTATTATCTACTTCTGATATACATACATTCACTCGTGTCTATTCGTGTCTGTACTAAATCGTGACTATTCGATAGAATAAGGTCGGGTTGGTAGTGGGAAAAAACACGCGGACAGCGAGGTTCTCCGTCGTTGCCGTCTTTTTCGGGCAGTTCCTTCTCTTGCAGTCGATGCTGGTGGTATCATATGCATGTACTACATAGTTTACAGTGATTTGTCCGATTTTTGCCCTGCTCACCAGTACGTCAGTCAATCTTAAATAGTTTTTCATTAAACCTTAAAATTTAAAAAAAAGAACAAAAAATCTCCAAAAAAGTCAGGGATTTTACCGAGACTCGTTAAAATAACTTTCACGCGTTGCTAGTATCAACAGCTTACTGGTCCTCAAAGTTGATGAATCAATCAATTGTGTCGTGGCTCTACGTGTCTGGTTCTATATCAAAGACTATCACACGTTTCCAAGCACACTTTACTCCTTCCACTTTCACTACTAAATACTTCCTTTTGGAATTTCTCTCCACCTATTCCTATATGGATCCCAACCTCCCTCAACCCACCTACTGCTTTTGTGCTATGACTCTCCTATCCCACCTAGCCAAGCCTCGACTTCCTAGGCTACATATATATGGCTCTAACCAGACCAATCTATCGCAAACACCAGTATTTTGTACAACAATCTGCTCCCCAACCGAAAACCTCACTCTTGCGTCTCCCCCAACCCTTACAACACAAACTGCTTCACGCACCTCTATACAATTTCACTTCCCAGCCTACACTCCCTACACACAGACACACCAGCTCAATCCCACGCGCCAATATAATATAAATATATATATTCTCTGCTAAACAGCGCGCGCACATATAACGGGGGAATTCCTTACGGGCATGGATGGATTCACAGCTGCGCTATAGAGTGCTTATCCCCTAATGTAGGTGCCAGCGGTGGGCACATACGACACTTGAGTGCCACTTACGTAATCGCAAATGTTTCCGTTGTTCCGTCCTGCGCTTCCTTGGCACGGAAACACAGAGAGGGACGGAGTGCACGTCTTCTATACCGCGTCATGCGACAACTACACGGAACGCACCACCGAGATGACACGCAATGACGTTCCGTGGCCAGATGCAACGCAATGACGTTCCGTGGCCAGATAGAACGGAACGACGTTCCGTGGCCAGATGCAACGCAATGACGTTCCGTGGCCAGATAGAACGGAACGACGTTCCGTTGCAAAATGGAACGCAATGACGTTCCGTAGTCAGAAGTAACGCAACTAAATTCCGTTGCCAGACGCAACGCAACGACGTTCCATGGCCAGTTAGATGCAACGCAACGGCGTTCCATGGCCAGTTAGATGCAACGCAACGGCGTTCCATGGCCAGTTAGATGCAACGCAACGTTACTAGTCGTTTTCTGATCAGAGTCGAAGCATACTGGCAGGTTACAGTCACACAGTAGCTATCGAGTTACTAACTTACTAGCCGATGTCTGTCTAGCAGTAGCAGCACATGGGTGTTTATTTGTATTGGGTGAATGACACGGTGCTGGAAAAAAACATACTTTTTTAACACGCGTTTACACGTCGGACTAAATCCACTGACGTTACTTTACTTACGATTGTTTTGCATGCAAACTCTGTAACATTTCGACATTTCTTATGTATGATACAGCTGCGCTTCGAATGTCGAGCCGCCCACGTGTAAGACTTCATTAAATAATAGTAACCGTGGGTGTCAGGTCGTTTGCTCGTGCCCCACTTACGTAACTATTATGCGCGGCTTAATTAGATATTCACTCTTAATTAACATCACGCTATTTAGTTGTTTAGCTCAACGTATAGGAACATGTTAATGTCAATTAACGTAAATTTATTCAACGACAAAGACGCATGTCTACGTTCTATTTATTTCTTTTCCCTGCAGATTAAACAGTGTAGTTTACCAATTATTCATTATTCATTATTATTCATGAAGCAATTAATAAAACCGTAACGTATACGGTGTACGGATATAATTAGGTAGATAGTTATACAGATGAACTTTTATGCAGGCATTTTCGGAACTAATTGTACGAGCACGAGGCAAACAGGTCAAACTAACTGTCCAAACATCAACGTTTTACAGCGCGCAATAGTCATCCGTTACACACGCACGCACGCACGCACGCACAAACACACGCACGCACGCACGCACGCACAAACACACACGCACGCACGCACGCACAAACACACGCGCGCGCGCGCACACACATACAGACACTTTCACTCCCCCCTCTCTCACTCTCTCTTTCTCTCGCTCTTCCTCTCTCCCTCTCTCTCTCTCTCGCTCGTCCTCTCTCCCTCTCTCTCTCTCTCTCTCGCGCTTTTTCTCCCACTCTGTTCCACTTCTCTCTCTTTCTCCCACCGCTCTCCCCTCTCTCTCACGCGCGTTCTCTCCCCTCTATTCTCAGACAACTAATCACACTCGCTCAGCACTAATACCTCTAACCACCACACCCCGAGCGCGACATCCCCTTCCTTGTACAGCAGCAGTACAGACACTGCAGTACTCTCTATCCGACACCTATACAACGTGCCCACGTACTTTAGCAATACGTACACGTACACACACACAGCGCTTGACACTCGCCCCCCCCCCCCCCACTGCTCGTTTCCGCCACCAGCGCGCGCGATCTACTAGTGTGCCTACTGCCTACCTCTACGAGTGCACTCGTCGGTCGCTTCTCATCCATTCACTCATCTCACTCACTCACTCACTCACCCACTCACTCATCTCACTTCCTGACTCACTCGCTCACTCACGCACGCACGCACGCCCGCTCGCTCGCTCGCTCGCTCACTCACTCACTCACTCACTCACTCACGCACTCACTCACTCACCCACTCACTCATCTCACTCCCTGACTCGCTCACTCACTCACTCACTCACTCACTCACTCTCTCACCCACTCACTCATCTCACTCCCTGACTCGCTCACTCACTCACTCACTCACTCACTCACTCACTCACTCACTCCC